GAACTGGTTACTGGTTTTTCTTGGAATGTGACATTTGTGGCAGGAGGGAGACTGGCAAGTCGGCCCGTGACAGCCGATCGAAGCCGGGTCCTACGCTGGGGCCGGGGCCAAACCTGGACGACCCGGCAGCGGACGGCCAAGCCCTGGCGCGCATGTCGAGGGCCTCCTACGCCTGGACTGAGCTCTCGCTGCCCTTTCCAAGTTTCCCCTCAGGACCCCAGCGGGGGTCCTGGGTCTCGCCCGCAGCACCCTTGCTTGGTTCGCCTTGCCTAGCCTTCCTCTTCACGTTCTTGATGACTGGGAGGACGTATCCTTTTCATTTTTGTTCGAAGTTTTTTGCCTTTTTGATTTCAGTTTGGGTTTGCTGTCTCCAAATGGCAAAAGCTTTTCAGCCCAGCTAGTGTGTGAATCATGCAAACTGGAGCTTCGTTAGGCAGAAGTGGGAGCCTGATTCTGCGGCCTGAAGCTTTTCTGTTTCGACCGAATCTTTTATCCCCTTGGTCCTCACCCCCCTTATCCTGTGTCTACACTGTTGGCCCTCTGGAGCATTTATGAAAATTGAGTGTTTGATTGCTTATAAAAGACCTTGTCTTTGGTGAGGACAGAATATCATGAGAGCCATTTGTGATACCTTGAAGATGCTTTTGACTACCCAATACGTTAACTTGCTCACGATAAGCAAATAAAACCGCGGTAGTTAATAGCTACAATGGTAAAGAATTTCCTTCCTTTTGGGGGAGCAAAAAGCCAGGGCTTGACATACTGAACAGTCTTGATTCCTTACTTCCAAAACGGAGCTGTGTGTCCCTGCCAAACTGGCTAATATTTCTCCTGGCTGCCCACTGCTCCTGGACCCAGGCAGCTGCATTTGTCAACTCAGATTCAGTTTAGGTATCTCTTTGGATTGCAAGTTCTTAAAGAATTTGGTGGAAAGTAAAATTTATTTCTTAGATTTCTAGAGCTTTACAGGGTATCTACTATGAACACTGCTTATGAGAACAATGGGAACTATATGAACAGTTTTGAAGGGAAGTAAAGGGCCAGAAAGAACTGATTTTTTGTTTGTTTGTTTGTTTGAGACAGAGTCTCATTATGTAGTTGAGACTGACCTGGAACTCACTATGTAGCCCAGGCTGGCCTTGAACTCACAGCAATCCTCCTGCCTCAGCCTCCCGTGTGCTGGGATTACAAGTGTGCACCACCACGCCCCGGCAAGAAAGCACTGATTTGATCAGAATAAAAGGAATGGGCCATAGAGTAGAAGGGCTCCAGAGCCTCCTCTCCTCCTTGTGTGGATGCCTGGTGAGCTGAGGAGGGGTGAAGGTTTAGATGTTGGATGGGCATACTTTTGCTATTGGGTGATATATTTTTCCAGACAAATAAGGAAAGCCTTGTAAACCTACAGGCAGACAGGAGGGAGGGAAGGTCCTGCCTATGTAAATTCCCCTCTTTCTTCCCCTTCTTTTTAAAATGTGCAGAAGTCTGGGCCTTTTAGGTTCTGTGAAGATGGTGGAGGGTGAAGAATGCTAATGTACTGAAGGCTACTTGGAGATCAAAGCATTTAAAATATATCTTTTCGTGGAAGATAATGGATGACTTTTGGTTTAAATGAGATTTTAAAGTGCTGTCATTAAGAAAAGCACACAAATGCAGAAATGTGAACAGTTTTATGGGAAGGCACTGTTCTGATTAGACTTGAGAGTGCCTGCCCCTGGCCAGTTAGTCTGGCACTTCTGTGGGTAGAAATCTGTTCTTTTTGATGTTTATCCCTGTGAAGCCTTATGGACCCAGGGCCTGGGGGAACAACAGCCAAACTAACTGAAATTAGATGGAGGTCTGAGTGAGAGCTTTTTTGCAGAGTACAGCCTTTTAGGTACTGCACTATATTTCTTCATAGTCACTTGTGAAAATGCTTTGAAAATGATAAAGCATTATACTGTATAACATAAGACTTAAAAAATAGTGATGTGAAACAAGGGAAGTACTACTGAAAAATCTGATTTTCCAGGCTAATAGGTTAAACTTTGTGAAACCTGTATTTCTGATGCAAAATTCACTCACATTGACACTTTTTTTCCTTATCTGGTGTGGCTACCTGTGCTTTCAACACATATGGAGGCTCAGGTCAGGTACTTTTACAGTTTTTGAATAATATTTCTCCTTGTTTTTTTTTCTTTCTTTCCTTGTGTGTGCGTGTGTGTGTGTGTGTGTGTGTGTACTAGTTTTGGAGGTTCTTTTGTCCAAGAACTCAGTAGGTAATAGAATCCTTGAAAAGCAAACAGTGGCATGGAGGTCAAGCAAGAAGACATATTTGATTGCAAGGTTTGTTGGAAATTGTTGTCTGAGGTTATTGAGGTTTTTCTGTTTGTTTGCCTAGTGATTTTTTTTTTTTATTTTGTTGGTTTGACTTTGTTTTGTCTTGGAGGAGAGGCAAAGTGTAAATCCTGGCCATCGTGGTAGGTCAGTACACTACTTTGTTGTAAGTAGGTCACTTCTGCTCCCTGACTTTTGTGTTGGCACCAGGCTCCTGTCACCTCTCCTGTTACCTGTGAAGCCCCTGACTACACCTTTGGGACAAGCCCTGGTGAAATCTTAGGCTCCAGCCCCTCAGGCCAGAACTCCTGGACTCTCAAAGGGACTCACACATAAGGCACTTTTTCTACATTTTTTAGGTGGAATGGCAGAGTTGAGTGTTAGGAAATATATCCCTTTTAAGGAATTGGAGATAACTTTTTATAACTAGTCATTGTCTTATACTGTGTTTAAATCTGTGTTTGGGACCTCACTCATCCATATTACGGCTATATACTTTTTTTGTTTGTTTGTCATTTTGAGTAAAATGTCTACAGTTTACTTATTTTTTTTAACTTTTCATTTTGAAATGATCTGCATTCATAGAAAGTTGCAAAAATAGTAGAGAGGTCCTGTGTACCCTTCATCCATTTCTCCCCACTGGTAACATCTTATTTAACCACATTATAATAGCAGACCCAGGACATGGACAAGACAGAAACCTCAGAGTATATTCAGGTTTCACCATATTTACATACACACATTTCTGTTTATGTGTGTATACTTTAATGCAGTTTTTCACAGGTAAAGATTTTTCATGTTACCACTGCTACAATGAAAATACAGAAGTATTCTATCATTTCAAGGATTTCCCAGGTGCTGCCCATTTATAGCCATACCCACCTTTTCCTCAGCCCCTGTCCTTGAATACTAGGAATGCTTATCTGTTCACTACATTTGTAATTTCATCACCTTGACAGCTCTATATAAATGAAACCATACAGTGGCTTTGACTGAGGTGCCTTACCCTGTAAGACCAAGGCTGTTCATTTGTAAGTGATTGAATTTGATACAGACTGGTTTCTAAGATGATTAGTTGCTGTATGTCACTCTATTCTTACTTCTAATCTTTGTTCTTCTGTGACTCACTCTTTTGTAGCCACTTCTTTCTCACTCTGTTATCTCTCACTACTTGGAATACATTCTAAGATTGGGTCTGGATACCACAGAAAAGCCATATTGCCTTGGGTAAGCCACTTAATCTTTATAAAATAAATCTATGTCCTAAATACTTAAGGTTATTTCTTTTTTGTAGGGGGGCAAAATAACAAAAAGTCTATTCCATCAATGAGGGTCCATTGCATCTAAAAGCAATGCCAGGATCAACCACACACTGGGTTACAACGCCTTCTTTTATAGGGTTTTACAGCCTCGATTCTCATTCAGGTGCTTAAGGTTATTTCGATACTTAAATGAGACCATGGGTATGAGTGGCCTGTATAAGAATTAAAGCATAGTGCAAAATAGTTTTTGTTACTTGGTGCATCCTTAATGTTCCTTTGAAGGAGTGTCTTTGAACTTGGAGTAGACTGACTGCTGATACTAAGGGGGACACATGGTAATGCTTGCATAGAAATCAGCAGGGACATGACAGAGAAAGTTCCTGAAGTGGATGGACAGTTAGACTAGGTGTTTAAGGACCTTCCAAATTGGATGTTTTGGAAGCACACTGGGGATATGTAATGACCCAAAAAGAGCTCAGGGCTGGAAAATCGGTAGAGAATGTTGAGAGACTCATTTTCTTGCAGTAGAGAAATATAATCCTATACAGTTTTGCCCTCAAGCAGTTTAGGACAGATCTGCTTTGTTCATAACTACTTTTTAAAGTTCTAGACTTGCACATTTCATACTAACCACTACTCACCTGTAGCTATTGAAATTAATGCAAAACTAAAACTTCAGAC